TCTTCCTCAGGCCTTACGCCTTACACTCCTTGAAGCAGAGACCCTCATTACAAGACTCGTCCGAAGGATCGCAAGAACAAGGTCCTTCCCTTGATTGCATTAGGCAATGGAGTGACACAGCCAGCATGGGCGATATCTTGGATGAAGGCCCGTGACCATCTTGGCATGCGTAACCTGCCCTTCTTAATGCTTTCAGCAAGTAACAACTTCTTGAGCAGGCCTATGTCTGCGGCCGAGGGCACATTGTGGTTGCGAGAGATCTTGTACGCGCAAGGACCTTGAAAGGTACTCATCGCATAGCCCGAAAGCCACGTGCCTGAGCTGGTCAGCTAAATCTTGTACAATGACGTATGAGGAACGCTTGACACAGGGGCACCACGTCTCCCCTAAGCATGGCGTGGCATTATTGTATTCCAGAGACGCCTTGACTGAGATCCTGGTTGAGTTGGCCAGGGTGGTAAGAGCCATCGTCGGAAACAGTTTCATGCCTGACCTTCCGAGCAGAGAGGGTGGCTGCTGCCCTTGCTGACGATCCTGCCAAGTTCAGGCACCTCCCTGAGACTCAGCCGGAGGACCGAGAGATCGAGGAGCCAGAGCGGGAGAACAATTCTGAGGCCGGCGCCGACCTCAGCGATGCAGCGGACTTGATGGTTCCGGACATGCTCTGTGAGCCTCCAGATGTGAAGCCTAGAGCGGAGAACCCTTGAAAGGCAAAGCTTGGGTTCATGTTTTGAGCGGGGTGACGCATGCTGAAGCTGCCCCGGGGATCCTTCGATGTGGAAGGAAGATCGCTATTAACACGAGGGCCGTGGAAGATTTTGAGGTTCAAACTTTGATCTGCCAGCAGTGCGCGGCCTCGCAATGAGAAAATTGCTGAACTCATCGATGTGAGCTTGTTGCGGTGTGAATCAATCCTGTCTTGAAACTTGCCGATGTTCCTGTGCCTGAGTCTTTGGGCTGCAGCTGACAGGGGGACAGGGTAGGCTGTTCGAAGCCTATCAGACGATCGCCCGCTTCTCAGAATTTGATCGGGATACGCGGTTGACTTCGCCGCATGAAACGCATGACTTGTCTGGACACTTGCTTTTCTTCAGTGGCAGATATGCTAGATTTCTTGAGATTGATGGGCCAAATAGTCGTCGCCGCTGCACTTGCGAGTGATTGTGGGACATTATTCGAACTGCGCTTGTTCGCCCATCCTTTACGAATCCGCCAGATTGGTGCGTCCGGGATGCTATACCAATTGTTTGCAAGAGTGCTGAGTGGGAGCGAGGGATGAGTTGTTCCCTATGAGAGTTTTCTTGCGACGCATTGCCCCAGCTGAGTTTGCTGGAGGACAAGCTAAGGCTCTTGGTCAATCATGGCCGGATTGGAGAGCACTGCTGCCTTGTCCGAACGTGCTCTTGCCATTGGACTGGACTCAGGCTTCTTGAAGAAGATGACGGACAAAGGGCCTAGACACACACGGCAAATTGGCTTTTGTTTGCAGTTGCCGCCCGGCATCAGGCGACGATACCCCACTGTTCAAGGTGGTGAAGGACTTGATAGGTGAAGAGGTGCCTGCCAAGGAGGTCGTTTGTGGTTTGAAGCCCACTCGCATGCCCTTGTGGACCTGGAATCCCGAGCCTCCCGGACTGGGGATACTTCGCCGAGGGAATTGCCTTTGGCGGAACGCATGACTCGACTGAAGAGGCAGCGTGCAGAACTTAAAGGCCTCGAGCTCGATGTCAAGACAGAACCGGGGCACGCGCTGGTTGATAGGATCCAAGCCATGCTAGATGCTTCGCAGATTGTGCGTGTGCCACCGGAGAAGTGCATTAGCCGGGAAGATGAAATCAACGGTGCCAAGGCTGAATCCAAGTTGTCCCTGTCCTCCGATGGCAGCATCAAAATCACGAAACAGGCAGCTGACCTGCGCTGTGAAACGAGCGGTGAACTCCGCCTTAGGCAGTGCTATCTTCGACGAGCGCTCGCGTTCGACCAGATCGGGCTTGCCTCCTTTGTTGAGCAAGAGCGATGGCGCAATCGTTTGTTTCATGCATTGACGGATGCCCCGCCCAATGGGTACCGATATGTCTCTGTCCAGCAAATCCTTGCTGCGGATCAGCGTCTGTGGCATTTTGTCTCTCAAAAAAGTCGAGGACACCTGACGCTAGCAGCAGGCGTGGCGCCGCCCTTAGACGTGTTCATCGCTGCTGCAGCCAAAAACCCGCTTGTGATAGCGTGTTTGACACCTGTTCCCAAGCCTGCCGATTCGGTGCCGCATCAGCCTAACGTGCCCAAATGTTCCTAGAGCAAAGGCGCGAATCAGAAAGGCAAAGGCAAGGGCTCAGGTGATTCTGCTCACGCCAATACAGCCCCTGCCAAAACCTCCCTCAAGGAGTTGCTGGATAACCTCCCTTCGGGATGTGTGAGGGCCACGGATGAAGGCCGCTTCCTGTGCCCTTTCTTCAACAAGGGTATCTGCAGGTTTCAGAAGAGAAAGTCATGCCGGTTCGGGCGCCACGCGTGCTACTTCAAGGGCTGCCAGGCCGAGAGACCTTTCGTCGAGTGTAAGCATTGACTCGGGGACCCTGATCCCCAGATCAATGCCGCCGCGTTGCACTTGTCCGCCGATGCTCTGCCTGCGCCGGAGGTTTTGGCTAAGGCTCTCATGTCTCAGGTTGGTGGCATCAGGGCGGAGCAAATCCTTGAACTTTTTGACTCATTGCCTCAGGATGAGAATGACAGAGATGAGCAAGGCTTCTCGTTCTGGGGCCTTTGTGCGTGTAAAGGTAGGCCTGCGTAAGGCTTGCAAGGATTTTCCCTTGTCCATCCAGGCCATCAATTCTTTTGCCAGGTCCGTCGTGCCAGCTGCTGTTTGGACCAGTTTTGCGTTGCTCGAAAGGGAGCAAACTTCTGAGCGCAAGGATACCGCCAATTCCGCGTTGCCGAACGTTCTGATCCCTGTCTCTTGTTTTTCAGCAGGGGAACTCTGTGTGCATGGCCCGCCCGGGCAAGTAGAGCTGGAGGTTGCAAAGGGCCCCGTGACATTTTGTGCCCGGCATCATTCGCACTGGTCCAAGCCTTCAAGGGGCCGCCGTGTGGTTCTGGCTTTATTTTCGCTTGTGGGAGCTTCAAATCTGGCACGAGCAGATGTGGACTCACTTGAGCGCTTGAACTTTCCCCTGCCAACCAAAGCGGCACTTCAGGGTGCAGACATTGTGGAGCCAGGACCAATACAAATTGGTCCGGAGGCAAAGCGCCTGCTGCCCCGGGCCACTGCGCAGCCTGGACCTTTCGCCTGCGCCTCGCCTGACCTTTTTCTAGGGTTCTGTTGTGGGTTTAGTGGCCCCTGTCCCCCTAGGGTTGGATCGCCAAAGTTGGTTGAGCTTTGTGCGGGAACTGCCATCCTGTCCAGAACAGCCTATGAGCAAGGCTGGTCAGTCGTTCCCATCGATCAGTCATCATGCCGCTTTGAATCGGGCATGCTACCTTTGAGACGCGTCTCATAATGCTTTATAGCCCGCAATGTTTCTGAAAGTGTGACTTTCTGAAACTCGCTTTTTGCGCATGCAATTTCTTGACATGGATTTTTGAAACCATTGAATTTCAAACCGCTGAATTTCATGTCAGGATTTTTCAGGGAAACTTGAGATGTCTCACAAACTCCACCTGTGGTGTTGTTTAAGTTTTCATGTGTGGGCATGGAATGACTGTGCTACGAGGCAGCACTGATGCTCAAGCTGTGGTGCGTGGGCCCACGCTTGAAAATTTTTTGTAGGGGCATCGCCGAGCCACTGTGGGCTCGGAAGTGGATGGAAGGCAGCCCTGCCCTTGAGCATCTTGAGCAGCAAGCCTCGTGGGCCGCTTTTCATATTGCCCGCCTGGAAGAAGTGATCACCAGCCAGCAACGTGCAATTGAGACCTTAGAAAGCCGTCTGCGTCGCCTTGAGAACGAGGCTATTGAAGCAGTCTCTGACCTCTACTTTGGTTGGACAGCCTCAGTGCCATTGTTAATCAATTGATTTTGGGCGCACACGTGCCCTCCAGCTGCAGATTGACTTTCTTGGAGGTTTGCCCGAAAACACGGATCCTGTCGAGTTTTCCTTTTACAGCCTTGATTGATTGCTTCAGTTTAGAGCTGTGCACTGCCTTCTCTTCAGTTTCTTGAGTGGGGTTAGTTGAGATGAAGCGCAGGCAGGATGATGCTTTTGAACAACATTTGCGTGATTCGGCCTATGACCAGCATCTTGAGTACATTTGGAAGCAGGCTAGGAGCAGGCATGTTCAGCCGTGGGATAGGTCCCCCATCCTAAACCCGTGCTCTGCCTTCCCTAGCCTACCTGCCCATCACAGGTTCAATGCGGCCTCAGGTTCAGCTGTGTTGCCACAACTCAGGCGCCCGTGGCTAAGGCTGGGCCACCTCCCAAAGCCGATGTGTCTGGTTTTGCCAACCGCGAAGGAGATAGGCAAGCCTTGGGAGGTGAAGTTGACCGAAAATAGGTTGGCAGCATTGATTAAGTGGGAGCGTGTACTGAATGCGCATAGGGAACATTTTGGATTGATGGACAAGGTGGCAAAAGGCTCTGGCCCGTGGGGGGACGTCCTGGAAGCGCTGAAGGACGTCTTCTCTATGAAGGCAAGCAGTACCTTGCAGGCATTGTCAGGATGCGGGGATAGCTCTTCCCACTTAATGAGTCTGACATGTATGACTTCCTGAAGGGATACTGCAGCAAGCAGGCGCCTACGTTCGGCAAGAGCTTTTTGGGGTGCGTAGCCTTCATGCAGCATGTCCTTGAGGCCAAGCTTGCAAATGATATCTTCAGCGCCCGTGTCTCCGCGGCAGCCAACCTCATGTTTTGGAGAAACGCAAATTGCAGCAAAAACCTCCTTTGATGGTCCAACATGTTAAGGCTCTCGAAGGCATCTTGTTCGGGGAGGGCGGGCTCCCTCCGTGCGATCAATACGCTGCAGGCTGTTTCCTTTTTGCCCTATACGCCCGTGCCCGATTCAGCGATATGCAGGCCAGCGGTGATTTGGTTAGTGATGTAGTGGACACCAGTGACGGTCCGATTGGCTACTTAGAGGCCTCCGTCGCTAGATCAAAAACCGCTTACAACTTGGAACGCAAAACTTGCTTCTTGGCGATGTGCGCGGGCATCCAAGGCCTGTCGCAGGACTCGTGGGCACTTAGGTGGCTGGAGGTGGCCAAGGAGCATGGTCCGGAATGCGGGCCGGGCAAGCCTTTGCTTCCTTCACGTGTGAAAGGGGGCGGGTGGCAGGAGTCACCTGTCAGCGTGGAGGTGGGCGCCAGGTGGTTGTGCAACTTGCTGCATAGGTCAGGCCAGGAGGCGTCAGGTGTGCGCGCCCTCGGCACTCATTCCCTCAAAGCCACGTGTTTGTCATGGGCCGCTAAATGGGGCGTTGACCGGGATACCCGTCTGATTATGGGCTATCATAGTTCTTCCAGGAGCAAGTCGGATGTAGTCTATGGGCGTGATAATGTTGCACCTGCCTTGAGGGTTCTGGACACCATTATTGCGGCCGTAGCGGCGAGCAGGTTCTTGCCTGGTGCAACGCGCTCTGGGATGTTTCCCAACAGTGTTAGGCAGGGCAGACTGCCGTCGGCCGAGGACGAGATAAGCCTCTCGTCAGAGGGATCCGAGGACGAGGAGGACAAAGACCCTGCCGAGCAGGAGAAGGCTGCGGACGAAGTTGTTGGTGCCTGGGAACCGGTGCAGGGTTTACGTGAGGCGCGTGTGCAAGCAATGCTGCCCGGAGTCTTGAAACCGCTATATAGATTCAGGGTGGGCGAAGACCCTCTCCCTGGCCTTCTTGAGCGATATGCGAAACAAAATGGGAATTCTCTGCAAGCCACTTATGGATGCGAATGACACATCGCTAGGAGAGCTTGTCAGTTTGAGAGGGAACCTTTTAGGCACAAGAACAAGCCCTGCCATTTGACTTGAGTGATCTTGATTGAATCTCCACTTGCGAGGAGCACTGCTGTAAAGCTTTTGGAGGGCCCGAGACCGTTTGCTTGACTTTCTTTAGCGCACCCGAGCATGGCTGCTTCTTACTCTGACAGTCAGAGTGTGTTTCAGGCCAGAGTGGATGCAAGCGGTCTCCCGAAGGACGATGCCACTAAGGTCAAAAGCTCCGTATCATCATTGCGGCAGTTGACTTTCATTTCGAGCTTTACGCCAGGGCAAGCTGACGAAGCACCCCTCATGGCTGCACTCCAGTCCATGCTGGGGAGGGATGCCGAACTGGCCGTGCAAGCTAGTTTTCGAGCTTTGTATCACGAAGCATACGCGATAGTGACCTCCGAGCTCAAGCAAAAGATCGAGAAAAGCGAGGAACTGGCAAGTCGTCGGCTGACGCAACCAGAACGCGCTGAGAGGTACGAGAAGCAGAAGACCAAGCTTGTTGGTGTCCTGATTAAGAATCAGAGTGAGCCAAGCGAGGCCCTTGTTGACAAGGCCGTTGCCTGTTACGAGAGCAATGAGCTGAGGTACCTCAGCTGGGAAGCTTGTACCTCGCGTGAGCAAGAGGTAGGGTCTGATCGAAGAAAGGACACTCGATTCACCGTAGATGAGAATTCGGGCCGCCTGAAGGTCGAGACCAAGGATGCCGAGGAGAAAGCGTCAACGGTTTCGGAGGTTCATGTTCTGCAGGCTCTCCAGCGCAGGTCTCTGGCCATGGATCAGGCGAACATTGTCGAGTATTCCTTGATGCAACAATGGTCAGACCGCTTGCTGAGGGCTAAGATGCAGGAAGCTCC